ACTACGTAAACTTTAAAAGAATCACCACTCGAACACCCCGTCTAACTGTCGTAATTCGCAAGGATTGCACGTTAACAGTGCAGTAATTGAAGCATTTTCTTCGTCTGGTACAAATTCGTCATCATTATGTACTCGTTTTCGTGTTCTGCGTGCCTTCGATGTCTGGTTGAACTCATTGTCAATATAATTTCCTAAAAAGGCACGCAGCTATTAAAAAAGACTTAAATTAGTACATATCAATTGGAAAAACAAAAAAAAAAATAATATTTTACCGTGAAGGATCGCCATGCGAGATCCTGAATAACAATCTTGCGTTTGTTTGGATTATCATCGTCAGTTTCTGATGCTTCTAGACTGTGATACTGATTGTCAGTCAGGATTGGTTGGAGTTCATCATTGTATAATTTTCCAACCAAGCGATCATCAATCCTCGCTAATTTATCGATCGTTTTCGCTTGTCGTTCTCGTTTCTAAAATAAGAGAAATTTATTTAATGAATAAAATCAGTAACAATTGAGTTTTTTTAAATTACTTCAGCATGGCGAGAATTGGCGTGCTTTCTTCACATATCGGCATCATTCCAATCGTCACTTCTTTTTTTGTTAAAGAAGTCTTCTCGTTGATAGTGGTGTCGTTCGTGGATTATATACTTTATGACGCCATCAACAACCGGAAACGTTTGTTTGTTGATCGATTTCTGAATCAATGGTATTAACTTTTGATTCACTAACTTTCGTTGGCTTTCATACGTTTCTTTGACATCCAGCTTTTTGTTGTCTGGAAGTCTGTCCATGATTCTAATAATTTCAGACTAATCATAATAATAAATTATTGGTTATCAAAATCGTACAATAAAATTAATAACTAATATAATAAATAATTTACCCTCAACGCATTTCTCAAATCCTTGTCCATATCCTCATAAAAGAGATAAGTAGATGGGAGGGAAAAGAAGAAGGAGAAGGAGAAAGAGAGGTCGAAGAAGAAGAAGAGGTCTGATTTTTCTTTTTTTGGCCTTGATCAGAATCCTTCTTAGATTAAATGCGTCTCTTTCGCGATTGTGATCGCTCCAATCAAGGCTGATGATGAGATACTCTTTCCTAGCTTCTACCTCTATTATCGTTATGTTTAAAAGCAGAAATCAGTTTTGTCGTGGTTTTATTCTTGATCACGCTTTTTGAAGAGATAGGTTGTCCATATCAGGTTATATTAGGTTGGGAAATATAATTGTCATCGGACAACTTGATAATTATGTCCTTTGGATCAATCGACTTATGTTTGCCCTTTGCAAGTATCTTTATGAAATCTTTGAGCTCATCTACTTGAGCCTGTAATGCGTCTATTATAAATAATTATAGAGGAAAAATTGATACAATCAGTATGTTTTGGTTAGCAATGTATATAAATATAAACAAACATACCGATCTTTTTATCCTTTTCTTCATTTTCTTGAATAACATCAACTAAAAGAGGAACTTTCTTTTTATGTTGTCCTTCTTGACGAGACTCTTCATCAGATCCAGAACTATTAATAGAAATAAATAATAAATCAGAAAATCAGAAAAGAAATAATCCGATTTAAAACTTAAACAACTTACGGTCGTTTTTCACCACTATTTTGATTCTTTGGATATATTTTATTTTTTTTGTTTTTTGTTGTTCGTACTGGCAAATGTTTTCTTTGATTGTCATCATCTGATGACTCTTTTTCTGGAAAAGAACGTTTGGTTTATTTTTTGTTGTTAGTCATAGCAGTTATAGATATTTTTTTTTTTATATAAAAATTGTAACGAAAGAAAGAAAAAGATACAGTCCTTTTATACTTTTCCAAATAAATCCTAGAAGTTTATTTTTGAAATATTAAAACATTAGTCATTGAAATAAACTTTTATTAAAGTGACCCTTTGGGAGTAAAAACATGATTAGTCATTAAAGACAAACTTCCTTTGTGAAAGTGACCCTTCGGGAGTAAAAAACATGATTAGTCATTAAAGACAAACTTCCTTTGCGAAAGTGACCCTTCAGGAGTAAAAAACATGATTAGTCATTAAAGATAAACTTCCTTTGCGAAAGTGACCCTTCGGGAGTAAAAATACGAAAACTTTCTTTACAAGATAAATATATAGAAGTTTATTTTCAACATTTATAACCGATTAATGAAATTTAAACTTTTTCATATGCCAGTATACTTTTTATTAAAATTTATTTTCCGGTTCACACTATTTTTTTTCTCTTACTAATTTTTAAACTTTGCATAACAATATTACAATCAATTGATTTACATATATATATGCTAGTACGCGTTAAACGCGTTAAATCAAATTATACTCATTAATTCTTTATTGAACTTGAAAAATGCCAAGGCCAAAGAAACGTCGTGTTAACAAAGATCGTTCGATAATTCCTAACATGGACACTAAAACTAGAAATTTGGTCAAATGTAAATGTGTATCACATTGCAATGGTAGTAAATGGGTAGATCCTAGAACTTTTGAGAGACATAAACAAGAATAGGTGCTGCTTCGCAATATTACTTCTGATTGTCAAAGTTCTCATCGGTCAAGGAACATCAGAAGTAACCGGGTCGATGTTAGATCATCATCAACTTCAAAAGTAAAAGAAGTTGTACTAACCGAACAAACTTATTATTCATCTGATAATTCTTCTAATGATGAACAAATTCTAACTGATCAGAACCCAATTTATGCACCAAAGAAATGAAAACATTATAATAAGTTTCGTGATATGGACAATACTACCCTGATCAATATGATGATAGATCAGAACCAGCATTATATAAAGAAGACAATGAGGTGCCAGATAACGATGATGTAGAAGATGATCACAGGTTGAGTGAAGATGATGTTCCAGTTAAGCAATTTACTACTCCTGATTTCGATGATCTTGATTTTGAATCAGATCTTGAATATCCTGATATGAACATTGAATTTAATGATTCATGGATACTATTATGGATCCTTAAATATCAGTCAAGGTTCTGTCTTTCAGATGTAGCAATAGATTCACTTGTTAAATTCTTTAGGATAGTTTTATTGGATGCCGACCATACGAGATTCAAAGAATTTCTAACCAGTTCTTATATGATGAGAAAGATACTAGGAAATCGGCAAGCAGGAAAAAGTGTACGCTGTATGTCCAAGCTGTAATAAACTATATAAAGTTTCAGAAATTTTGAACGATCAGTCAAATTCTGGATTCAAGTGCACGCATGTAGAATTCCCAAACCATCTGAGACATAGCCAAAGACAACCCTGTGGAACAGAGTTGATTAAAAAGGTCCCAGTAGTAAAAGGTCACATCGGAAGACCAAAGATGATTTTCCCTTTATCATCTTTAAAGATGCAAATAATTTCGATGTATTAGCGTCTGGGATTCGTATCTCTTTTGAGAAAATGAATTAATCGGGATGCTGAGATTGACATGATGTCTGATATTTATGATGGAGAAATTTGGAGGAATTTTCCATCACAACTTGGCACATCAAATACTTCTAGGTTTTTCACACCCGACACTGCTTATTCACATTTAGGAATCATGATTAATCTCAATTGGTTTCAACCATTCGAGTTATCATCATATAGCAGTGGTGTGATTTATGGAGTCATTTGTAATCTTCCTAGAGAAGTGAGATTCAAACAAGAGAATATGTTATATCTTGGACTACTACCGGGACCTACAGAAGTCAAACTACACAAAATAAACCATTATCTTTCTCCTATAGTGGACGAATTATTAGAATTATGGAATGGGTTTGACTTACATCATATCGAAACATGTCCAATCAGCAAGAGAATTAGGTTAGCAGTCATATGTTGTTCTAACGACATTCCGGCTGCCAGAAAGTTGTGTGATCACATATCAGCATTGGTTGGCTATCATCGATGTTACAAAAGGGCAAACAATGATGGTAGGAAACAAAATTTTGGTGGATTTGATGATATGTCTGATTGGTTTCAGGAGCGTGATCTTGAAGAACATCAGCAAAATGCAGAAGAATGGCGACGATGTAAATCCAATGATGAAAGGAAATAGCATGTTTCTAATACACATGTACGTTGGTCAGAACTATTGCGTTTGCCATATTTTAATCCAATCAGACATTTTGTTGTCGATCTAATGCATTGTCTTTTTCTTGGGATTGCTTATTGAATTGTAAAAAGATTATGGATTGATGGTGGTAAAATCACTAAAACAGATCTCGAATTGATTGAGAAAAGAGTAAAATCCATCAAATTGCCAGCCGATTTAGGCCAAATTCTATATAAGATTGCTATTGGAGAAGGATTTTCTGGTTTTACGGCTGACCAATAGAAATCTTTTGTACTAATCTATGCAACTCCGTTAATGTGGAACCTTCTGGACGTTTCCGATCGAAAAATCTTGGCCAATTTTGTGAAAGCTTGCTCTTTACTTATTTGTCAGATTATCGATAATGATGTATTGAATGAAGCTCATGACAGATTATTGCAAGTAGCATGTCTAGTTGAAGAAAACTATGGACCAGAGATGATAACGCCAAATATTCACCTTTCGCTTCATCTTGCTGAATGTTGTCATGATTATGGTCCATTGTATTCATTCTGGTGCTATTCGTTTGAAAGAATGAATGGAGTTTTAGGTGAGGTTTCATACTAATTATTACTAAACAGTGAAATATCATACTTACAGTATATACTAATATCTTTTTAATCTTTACAGGTTCTTTTCCTAATAGTAAGCAAAATATTGAGCCAGAGTTGTTGAGAATCATTACGTTAAATCGTCGATTAGATGATTTGATTTTTAGGCAATCAGACAATATAAAACTTACTGAAGCAATTGGAATCATGAAGTCTCAGCTAACATCAGGAAGTCTTGCAGCAAATGATGGATTTGATTTTGCTGAATTATACTAATTCATGCAAATCTTTCGTCATAATATTAATGATACTATTACTGGTAGTGAACCTTTTCCTGGAGAAATGCTTACTCCAAGAAAAAATAATGTTTCCCTACCGAATGATATATATGAACTACTAGTTCAATATTACAATAATACATATAATTGGAAGTTTGTGACAATTGCTGACGTAGTTTCCAATGGAGCAATATCAGAAGATTTAATTGTTGTTTTACTAAATGTGAATCAATATGGTCGAATTAGGGTTGAATCCGAAGTTTTTGGAGGAACAATTGCGTCTTGGTATTCAAGAAATTCACATATATTGGCAAAATTTATACAAAACAACAAAACTACTGATATGTTTCCCGGACAGGTACAGTTCTTCTTTAAGCATACAGTCGAGCTTCCAATCGATACAAAGACACATCAATTAGCTTTTGTCAAATAGCATCTACCGTCACCTAACCAGCAAACACGATTTTATTGCAAAATTGAAAATGATGATGACGAAGGATGTAACATTGAGCTTTAGAAATACGAATTTTACGAAGTTGACAGGGATAGTATTATTCCGATTCATAACATTTACAGTAGATTTGTATCTAGTAAATTTTTAGTAGGTCACCGACATCCTACTAAATATATGGCAGTTGTACTGATCAACAGACAATTTCACTTGTGATTACCGTTTGCTGTATATACCTTCATTTCTCTGTCCTTAGGTACAGGACATTAAAAATATGTCCAAATATTTTTTTTTTGGACTGTGAAGGTATTGACGTCTACGCTGTATAGCCTGGGTACTATTTTTCACAAAAAAATAGTAGCAAACAAGTACCAAACTTACCTATAACTTGATGTTAGATGAACGAATTTTATTCAAATTGCAACAGTTAAAATTATATAAATTTCCAATTACTTTTCGATATTGATAAAACAAATCAGCAAGTTAGTAATCAATCAGATATCAACCTTATTGATAATTGATTTTCTAAACATAAGAATAGTAATCAATCGGTAAACTCTAATTAAATAATATTAATCAATCGGATACTAAACCAATTGATATCCGATTGCTAATACAACCAGATTGGTTACTATTAAGTATTTAGTCTTGAGTTTTTAAAAAAAGTAATCAATCAGGTTGGGTACCCGATTGGACGTCATTCTACCTGTGATCGTTGATTATGAAGTGATTGCAAGACATCTTGATAGGCGATTTATCGTAAACCTTGGGATATCTTATCATGATCGTAGTTATATGCAGGGTTACGTAAAAAAAATGCTCTGAAGATGATCTTATAAATAGGCTAACATTACATAGTTATAATGACAGGCTGGCAGAAAGGAAGAGTGAGCGTCATGTACAGAATGCCATCCTTATCAATTTTGTTGAAAGCAGTTTGAAAGGTGTAAAAGTATATACGAAAGCTCTCCAAATTGTGTATGATCAAGAACTGATGCAAGCATATCTTTCTGATCACATAATCCCTATTGTTGCAGACTGGCCTGGTCAGTTCTTCATTCACAAAGCTATTGCGCATCGACTCCTTCTAAATAATGAAATTATCCTTCCATTTATTACATCATTTTTGCCTGTTATGAGTCCGCTTCATATATCTCTAAATTCTCGTGAATTGGTTTTCTTAAAAAATTCAGTTTTTTTTAATGAAATTTATAAAGGAATATTTGAGGCAAATAAGGATCTTGGTAAGACATCACGACTATGGAGAATTGATTTAATTCTCCAAATCATACGCATAGCGTGGGTTGATATAGTCGATGCTATTTATTTAAAGTTTAGCTATACTTGTAAGAATATAGAATTTTTATACTTAACTGACCTATTAGATAACTTAATTCCTTTAGTTCTTGATGTTTACGCGATTCATCATTGAGGAGGAAATTGATTGGCTTACAAAGAAGCTTGCATGCGTTGCTAGAGCGATCTATTTCTTCAGTTTGATCGAAGAAATTATAAGCGTACTCCATTAATATTTTTTTCTGATATATTTTATTGGATGGAGACTAATCATCTGATGTTTCACATGTTTACTAATCATCTTGCTTCACTAAGTGATTGTCCTGTAGAAATCGTTCACAGTATTATCTGATGACGTACTGCCAAATTTTTCACAGCTAAACAATTGCAAAAGGAAGCGCATTTCATTTTTCAGCATCGGGAAGACAACACTTTCTGACAATATTTTGTGAATTCTGTAAAATACCTGTATATACTGAAGCAATTGCACATGTTTTCTAAGAAGTGTGCTATATTGCTTTTAGATGCATTCACGAAAATATATCAAGCGAGTGACCAGTATCCTTTAATTATTAAATCTTCATCTGATGGTATTAATAAATATAAACTTTTATCGTTAGGTTACGAGATAACTGATCACCATCTTCCGAGAGGCTTCGTTACTCTCAGAAAATCCAATACAGCCGTTCTATGTGATTATACTCATTGCGATAGTAATTCACTTGATAGCAAAGTTCTGGCATGTGATCACAGTTATCATAGTCTTTACTTGCAAAAAAGTCAGTTTAAATGCTTTAGCTGAGTATAATCTTCTTTTTAATACAGTAATAACTATTTATTATACTTTTTTTTTTATTAATTAGATGGTAATAGTAATTCTATTAATGATTATTGCCTAAATCTAACAGGATGACTGGTTAGTCTAATAAAATTTAGGTTTTTGAACTTTTTATTTTATTAGGCAGCTTTTTTTATTTTTTACTTTTATACTTTCTTAAAGGATTTTTATGTATATTTTATACAGATTACAGACTCTGACGAAAGTAATAGCACTCAGTTTTTTAATAATTTGTATGTAATTTTATAATAAAAAATCAAAAAAAAATTTTATTTTCTGAAAGACCGACCAAAATTACATATATTTTATTAATTAATTAATATTTGG